TTTCAAGCTTTCGGGCTTACCAACGCCCTTGACATCCACCACATTGGATTTCTTTGCCATAGACTCCAAGGCTTTGACTTGGGCCTCAGTGGCTGCCCTGCCTGCTCGCGTATGGCTACCTCCCGTAGCTCAAACCTGCGGTTGGCATCCTGGGCCATTTGGCCCCTTCCAGCTTGCATCTGCTGCAGGATCTGTCCAAAGATCACCTCTGCAGTCTGTGCTTGGGGCCCTGGATTTGTTCCAGAGGAGTGTGGGCTTCCAGCGGGAGAGGACATCACTTGACTTTGTCCTTGCAGGAAGTGCCCAATCGCGGCCCACAGCCGCTGAAGGCGTCTCAGCCTCCAAAGGTGCCTGACCCGACTCGGGTCCGAGCTGAAGCAGCTCTGGACCAAAGTCTTCGCAGGAGCCCCTTCTCCAGCGCTCCGCTACCATGCAGCGGGCTTTTAGGCTCTTTGAGTGCCTTGCTTCTAAGCCGAAAGGGCTGCGGTGAAACAAGTTACCCCTACACACTGAACCCTACAAACATGGCTCTGAACTCCAACAACCCGCCCTGCACTAAATCGCTAGGTCATTGATTTAGGACGTGCAGATTACCTTGGCAAAGCTATGCACATGCTGCCCTTACTGCCAGAAATAGTAGATTCTCCTGAGGTCTCTGCACACGCTGACCGTTGATCTCTGCGGGCAGAAAGAAATCACCCACCTACCAAGGATGGGTCGCACTTTCTGGGAAACACTCGAAAGTGGCTGCAAAGACAGGGCTGGAGCAATACTTACCTCGAACACTTTTGGAAGCCTGTCTTTGATCCCAAGCATGGGAAACGTCCAGCCGAAAGCTATTTACTTGTGAGTAAGTCCTGCACTCTAGACGTTCGTGCCCCAAAGTTCAAGCTCAACAAATTTCCCGCCTTTATCCAGCCATCACCTTCATCGTGACCTGGAACTTTCTCGCCCCAGACCTCATAAGATGCAGGACGGCCCTAGCGCATGCATGCCTCCAGCATGCAAAAAAAGTGCGCAGATGCTGCAGCAAATGTTCCAACCCCAGTCTTTTTGCCTCCGGACACAGAGGAACATTGCCAAACAAACTCGGATCTTGGGAAATGAAAGCAATACTTACAGCTTGCACAGGTTGCCGGTTCCCTGTGAAGGGTACTGCCTGTCAGAATCTGCTCATGGAGTCTTGACGAAGGTTCTTTATCACGGAACGTTGCTAGACTCCCATCCAGGATGCTTCGGACAGCGCGGCCTTTCTCATCCTACACACATGCTGGAACATGGATATCTTCTATGATGATCTTGCATAGCAAGGTATAGTACAACTAGACTTGATGACTGGACCTAGCCAAAGCCATCTGGCCTGCCTGCGAGTCATTTTGAGAAGGGCAGCGCAAGACTGCGAAAGCTTGTTCCAGAAACATTGGCTGCTTTGCAAGCCCTCGACCTGTAGCCCCATCAGTCTACAAAGGCCTCAACCGGACATGTTGGGTGCATGATCACACGAAGTGTCGCAGATATGGTTAAGCTAGGGCTTGCTAACTTCTGCAATACAGCGCTTGTAGGAATATGTTGGCCAGACAAACTGAGGCTTCGCGCAGGCTCTTGATTCAGAACAATGCAGCTTGCCTGGCGGGAGTTAACCAAGTCTCGTGCTGCCAATCTGCTGGGTACGATGTCCTGTCAATGGACACGCCGCAGGTTTTAGATCCTTCTATCTCTCGAGAAAAGAATCGGCTGAAACAGGCACGGATGCTCGTGTCCTCCAATGTTTTGGAGGCTCGGTAGCCCACACCTCAGCAATAGTCGACACCAGGTTGGTACTTGCGCTACACTCCATGGCTCGCCTTGACACTAAAACAGCTTCAACTTGAAAGCGGCGCGACACACTTGGTAAAATCCTTTGGTACATGTCCATTCGACAAGCTCCACAGGTTTGTCCTGATGGTGGCTGAGTTGAGGCACCATGGCTGCTAGCCTGGAGTTGAGAGTTGTCCACCAGGAACCAGCCAGCCTGAAGTATTGAAGGATCGACTTTGCCAAACGAATATCATCACATATCCTCATGCATCTCATGCTGCACGGAATGTGACACGCAAATCGAATCCTACGTTCCAAGCTCAGCCCGCACGATGCCTATATCCTGCACAGCTTCCCTGCTGATCACTTCGAAATACAGGGTACAAAGTGGCTGAGATATGCTGAGATCCCTTGAAATTTGAGCTCCTGTGCCTCCCCAGCTTCGCTGTCATCCTGGCCTTGGTCCTGCTGCAAGACAGGCTAGGCTACAAAACGAGCACAGCTAATCTGCTAATCGCAAGCTTCACATCGGCCCTGAAAATGTTGACGCCTCCTCCGGCGGCTTGAAGTCTAGAGCAACGCAGAGCACCTGGCAACTTCCATGTAAGATTTGGACCCCTCCAGCTTGGGACGGCAAAGGCTCAACTTTTGGGGGGACCCCCGAATCTGTGCTTGTGAGTGGAGGATAATAGTGGACATGCGACAGGTGGGTCAGAAGACAAGGTGAAACCCTTACAGCCAAGGATGAACTCGCCCGTGTGAGATCAAATGCTGAAAGCATGCTGTATGGGCGAAGTACCTTTTGGAACAAGTTTCATGCTGCAGTTTTTCTTGGAGAGGCAAGAAGCTCAAGGATGGCAAGCTGGTCTCAGGGTCAGCCTGCAAAGCTTTGTCCACAAGCTCTTCCTGCGGCCAGCTGATCTGCATTGCAACCCAATGACATTTACAGCACAGCTCGCTGCAATGCCCAACTCAATCTGCGGCCCTGTGGTGCCCTCTTGTCGATGCCCTGCCCTGCTGTCCCGTCTTAGTCACAGCTTCCACGTAAAGCGACTCTGGCTTTCCGGCTTTCTCACATCTCATGTTCTACGCTCGGTCTTGGGAGCTGCCGCTGAAGAAGCCACCATACGGTACACCTCGCCCTGGGTCGCATGAAGGAGAACACTTTATCAGGGCTTAGAAGGGGCTGGTCCGGGGAAGAAATCTAGTCATGCTTTATTGCTGCCTGTCCAGGCTTTCACATGGCATTGACACCCTTCCACAGGTATACGTATATGTGTTGGGAGCCTTTTGCTCAGAGGCGGGGTCTCTGTGCGCTCAAAACAGAAAGGGTCCGTTTTGAAGTTGTCAGGACTCGAACACTTTGATTACCCCGAAGGCTTGAGAACGCCACGCACAAGGCTCCTGTTGCTTGGGCTCAGTGTTGTAAAGTCGTTTAAGCCGTCCTCTGGAGCCTTTTTGGCACTGGTACAAATATCACAACCTCATGGCACAAGCTGCAGAGCCCAAGCACTTCAGCTCTCAGCCGTCGGCCGATGGGGTCGTATCTGCACACTGTTGACCTTCCACAGGAAAACAAATCTGGCCACACTTGGACAAAGTGACAGGCCAACAGCATCCCATTGTGAGCATGTCTCCTCATTGTTCGCCAGCATCAGGAAAATGGTTGCACGACTAAACAAGCTTGCCCAGATGCTGCAAAGGAATAAATCCATGGCAATCGTAGCTAGGCCCAGGCTAGCAGACGGTGCATGCCAATGCCTAATTTACATCAACCAAAAGATGAGTAGTGCTTTTGTTGGTGGTTGAACCCACCCAGATTATAGTCTTTCTATAAAATACTATACGCAAACGGAGGATATAGCCTTTTTCTATATTGGGTACCATAGATGGAGTTCCGACTGCAACTCTTGCAGTGCTCAGGACACCGCTTGCAGCTAACAGGCAAGTCCAACGGAATCCAGGAGCATGCGTCCATGCATTCAAATCCAACAACACTAGTGCCGACTCTGCCAGTGCTTAAGTTCAACCCTTGAAGCCGTGTACGTTCTCACACAGTCTGAACGACTCCGGCCGATCCCTCTATGTGAAGATGAGCAATGGTCCAGACGTCACGAGGCATCCCCCTCACAAACTTCCAACTTTATGCTTGGTCCACGGCAGCAAGCTGCAGAAGATGTTTGCCGTATGGCAGACCTGTCAGGGACATGTTCCCCCTGCATACATCTGTTGCGCAGAGGCGTAAGATGAAGAGCTTGCTCAGGCAGACACAGCAGCATCCAAGGAATTCCCATATAGCTCGCTGGTACTGCCTATGATTGGGCTGCAGTCTGCAGCAGGCGTGGTTTAACTCCAGAGTTAAGGGAAGTCCGTCTCTACTGTAAAGCATCTTGTTGGTGTTGATTGGCTGAAATACGTTCTTGTCATTAAGGACTGCAAGGATTCCGCCCGAGTTTGTGGCCTGCCGCAATGCGTCAGGACCCAGAATCTGCAGCTGCGGAAGGAAAAATACATCCCTGATCTCCAGCAACACACCTTGGAAGGCTTCCAACTCCTCCTGAACATCCTGAGCGTCCTGAGCTTCTCATCCTTGCTTTGCTGTTTTCAACAGGAAGAAATTAACCCGCCAGCCAAACTTGTAACCTTGCACAGTGCGGACTAGCGCGTCCACTTGCCAATCTACAGGGGCCCAACAAACACACCTCTGCAGACATCCGCCCAAGCAAGAGTTTCCTATGATGATGCTATGTTAATTCTGAGATTCTGAGACATAGACATACCAGCACCGCACTAAGCTCTAACATAGTTGCTTTGATGGGTTTCACTCATTCTACGGTTCAGCGCCTCGCCACCAACAAAGCGCCGCAGCCACTGTGGTGGTGACTCCTCGCATGCTGCGGCATCGCGCATGAGAGAACTTGCGAAAAAGCTGTTTTTATTGAGGCTCAGACTCAGACTCGGTGAGATTAGGTATAGAGGTGACGGGGTGACGGGCTCAGCTCCACAACCAGCATCACCGCCACCATCACCACCACCACTATCACCACAACCACCACCACCGCCGCCACCACCGCCACCACCACCACCACCACCACCACCATCACCACCATCACCATCTTCTGGAAGATCCTGCTTCCTTGCCCTCAGGAGGAGTTAGCAGAGATCTGCAAAGCTGTGCTACCTTTTCCCGGCGGGCTCGCGTCTCAGCGGTAACGTCGCCAGAGCGCAGCTACCACAACCTGGATGTCAAGGCCGATTGGTAATAGCTGTCACAGAAAGCAGCAACAAAATCAGCTTGAAGGACTATGCTGACATTCAAGCACGCCTTCATCAAACAAGACTTGTGACACGCTTGAGCACCCTCACAGCTCTTGCAGAGTTCACTTGGTCACAATGTGGATTCTGCCATTGACGGGTTACAGCTTCAAAAGGTTGTAGTCCAACCTAAAAGCCCGAACAACGAAGCCCCAGAAACTAATGTCTCTTGCAATACTTGACCGGTGGGCCGATGCTGCTGCCATGACCAGCAGAGGTGGTCCGGAGCGCGTGCGTGGCAGCGGCCGCAGTGGGGCCTGGCCAAACGACTTCGAAAATCTTCACGACTCGTGTTTCGGCCCAGGACTCCCAGCACAGCTCACAAAGCAGAGCACTCCTGTCATCTCAGCAAAAAAGACCGCACTCAAATGCACTTGGCCAATGCTGTTTTTTCAAGCGATGCGCGCCCATCCGAGCCCAACCGTCCAACAGACATCAGCCGAAACCAGATGCAGGGCCTGGCTGCAGTGGAACTTTTGGACAAAAAGCTGGCATCCGCCACAGCACCTGGATCTGGAACAACTTAAATGCCACGGCTTCTGTCCACGGGACACCGTCCAGCAACAGCGTGCAACAGGATCGCACGTTCAGTCCTCTCCGATCTTCAAAAGCAACAGTTGCTAGCACAGGGCACAGTTCTGGAAGTCCTATTCCATTCATACCAGGTAACACGGTCAGAACAGGCCCTTAAACTATGAATGTTGCTGGAACTCAAAAATCCCAAAGCCAGATGCCGCTTGGGAGTCAAGCAGGGCTCAGTGGAAAAGCGTGGAAGTGGCGCTACCTACTACGGTGCTCTTGGAGCCACCGGCAGAACTACGTATTGGGCCAGCACGCGTATGGTCACCGGCTCTCCTACGGCATGCGAAATGAAGGCTAGCTGGAGCAAGAGCAAGATGAGCAAGGCTAGACTTATCGATCAAAGATCTTTTGACACAAAGGAGTGGCTAAGATGTTTGTCTTTATACTTCACAAACTGTGACAGCAGTCTGCAATTTCGTATGGCTTCGTATAGGTATCTCAACATTTGTGTGCCAGGGAAATCTTCCAGAAAGGGGGCAAAAGCCACCTCAGATGGCCTCAAGCGGGTTCATGTAGAGCCTGCTGATGGCCTGACTGGGGCTTTCGGAGTTGGAAGCCACGACGGTTGGCCAGAAAAGGCAACAGGCAGCTAAGCTAGCTCGAGAGTTCGATTGGGGTGACTTATCCAAACTAGACGACGAGATCTCAAAGCTGTGGTGCTGACCTATGACGCTGCATCGACTTGCCCTACCTCTCATCTGTCGCGTCCTGCTGAAAGCTTCGCACATTGCACGTACTGCAGATATCCAGTAGTGCTTTGTCTGCTTTGGCACCAGTGCTTAGAGGACCTTTCGAAACTCTGACGGTCTGCAAAATCACGAAACAAAGGCATCATGTGAGAGCGCAGCCCTGAAAAAGCCCCAGGACAGCCATCAGCCCTGCTGCATTGCACACAGCAGAGTGCCCTGTGCGCCGTCTGCCTCGCTGCCCGAGGAGGGCGGCGGTGTCGGCGGCCTCAAGTACTGTGACAACTTCTTCGAGTGCAAACATGTTACGGCATGTAGACCTAGGGCATTCGGAGCGAAGGGCTAAGCTTGCAAAATCTTGTCCACGTCGGCGTGTACAGAAGCGAGATCCGCGAAACACTCACGCATCGGAGGCACAATCAATGTCCTCTGACCCCTGGCCGCTTTTGGGAAGCTTTTGCCGCAGGTGTCTCACAAATTGCATGCTGGTCCTTACATGTTCTCAAACCTGAAACATCTGTCAACTTGAGATCACACGGCAATAGCCTTGAAGAGGAACACCTGAAACCCTACGACCACGCTCGTAGCCATCACGATCCCAAGAATCAAAGCCACCAACAGCAGCAAGTGTACCTACCGTATCTCTGTTTAAACAGCGCATCCGCAAGTCAACCTGACAACTGAGGCCGGACCTCTGCCAAACAATTTGGCTTTCACTCAGCCCGGCACCTGGCAGCAGGGCCTGGAACCAGGCCGTCGAGGGGCTTCGTGTCCAGGAATGCCCCATCCCTGCCGGAAATCAGAGAGCTCATGGTCAGAAGTCTGGACGACACCCATCTTCCGCCCAATGCTGATGCTGAAGCAGCTCAAGCCTGCACTCGACCGCTGCAATGGCCACCTGGCAAGCAGATCACGTAAGACCGGCAGCTGGACAGCTGGCGATAAGGGCTGCAGGCGTAGATTTCGGGCATGACGTTGACTAGTCTGTTCGTAGAAGTTTCACTCTATGCGCTTTAATTAATTACACGGCATTACCGACATGCTTGCAAACTCTGCTCTGCACAACCCCTCGTGAGTGTGAGTAATCTTGCGCCCGCGACTTACACGCACCAACCAATGACCAAGTGCTTGTGATCCTGAAGCCACCGTGCGCAAATCTGAAAGATGGAGCCAAGCCTCTTGAAAGCAAGAGTCTGGGAAGCATCAGGTCCTTCTTTCTTTTTAAACGCCTTCAAACCTTGAGGCCTTAAATGGAAGGTCTTCTGAGATGTCTTCTGAGGTTGACACCTGGCTCGGTCTCAGCAGCTCCGTCAACCCCAGGCGCTGCAGCAATGGCTTGCCTCGACTTCAAGGAATTACGCACCAATTGCAATGGGGCCAGTCTACCGAAAAGCGCACTGTTCTGCTGAAGCTGCTATGTAATGGTGAGGCGCAGCTCAGGATCACCCTGAATTCCGAACAAGATTCAAACAACCTCTACCTTGCCTGGCGCTCAGAACGCCTGCGGGCATTTGTTGCCTATCACTGATACCATATGAAACCTTTTAGACAGGGATACCGCTGATTCGTGGAAGGGATGCAGCAACCCGCATGCGGTGGTGCCGATTCGGGCCGCCTCGTGTGCTACACCTGAGCCTCCTACAGCCTGAACCCAAAGGCTGGCACCAAAAACTTAGCCTAGGCACAGGCCATGAGCGAATGGTTTAAGCCCTCGATCAGCCCACCCATGTGCTCGTCCAGTTTGCTGGCGATCTCGGCATGTGGCTGCATGCATCCAGGGTTCGATGCTGCTCAAACTGATCAAGTGAAAGCAAAGCAAACTCACCATCACAGCAGCTGACAGCAGCCCAGCCTTCTCACAGGCGTAGCTCTTCAAAACGTCCGCGAAAAGGTAAGTCAGAGCATTTACAAGCGCTGAGACACTCCAGTCCTTGCATGCACCCACACACACCAAGAGCTTTGCACAACCCACGGCCTAACTGTGATTGAAAGGAGCAGGCACGGAGAACATGAGACAGGAAGTTACAAAGTTGGATGCAAGTAATGTGTGCGTAAGTCCAACTCACACTGTAAGTTGAAACAGGAACGTTCATTGTTTTAATGCAGGCGCAGGACATTCCCGCACCTGCAGGCAGAAATAGGCTACTTGTACCCGGGTGCCTGCCATTGCTGCAAGCTTTTGCCTTCAGCCATCAGTCTGGAAGCCACTGAAGCTGACACGTCTGGTAAGAAACATAACACGTCCTCAATTCCATCAATGTCCACCAAGAAAGCTGATCGATCCGCATGCAGGGGAATGCAAACCGACAATGGTTAATCTATCCGCCCGGAGAAGCTTGAAAGCTGCACTTGCTTTCAGTCGGATGCAAGTTTGACCTTTCAGCGAGCTGGAGTTTCAAGGAGTGCAAGCCTTTGGATTTGCTACACATGGGACAGGATAAAAAGTAGCTTTCCTATCATGAGGTAAGCAGAAAGTATCTACTCATCCTCGGCAGCCCTTTCAACCCCTGAACGATCGCCAAAGCAGGTGTTGAGCTCAGCAAGAAGACAGAATTCCCAAAGCAGAGCTTGCACCGAATCTATCAGGGCATTGCAAGTACCTGGAATCCAAAAGCCGAGAACTTTGCAATCAGGCGTCAGTTTCATGCACCCACAGGTCCAAACTCTCCTGGCTTTCAGCGGAAGGCATTGCCGGAAGGGCTTTGGGTAGAAGACACGAGCCTGTGGTCTACGGCTTTCCTTCGCTGAAGAAGTGGTTCGGAAAGACTAGAAGGCGGTGCGATGAGAAAATTGCAAGGCATGCTGTTGCTTGAATGTGTGACAGACGGGCTTCGAATCCTGAAAAGGCCACACATGTATGCTGGAACAGTGACAAGGAACGCAAACCCCAAGATACCCCGAATTTCGTCTCAGTCACCATCTGGATGCTTCGGCTGCTCATGACCTTAGTTGAGGTTTGACATGCTTTTGCATCCCAGAGCCGACTGACTCTTTGCCTTCATGATGCTTCATTTCCATTGCTAAGAACCTCATTTCCTCTCAAAGACTCGTGCCGCCAGGCCACTAACTGGGGCAGTTCTCCCAGTTGGCCCTTGCACTAAAGGACGGGGCTTGCTTAAAGTTTGAAGCTTGCACGAGTTCTGGATCGGGAGGGTGCCAGCAGTAAAGAATGGGCGTCAAGACTTCGACGCATCACTGGTCAATAAGCCATCGACAGCTCAACAAACCCCATGCAGATCCTGGGGGCCTGCGGTCGTTCAAAGCCTCCTAACCTTCTACAAGGCAATGCTTTGACTGCAGAAACAGGTTCGGACTTGAACTCGAACCTTCTATAACGCTTTCATTAACCTTTAAAGCGATGAAGTTCCGCCATTCTGATATGCGACCCAAAGCCGTTTGTCTCTTGCCTGCTTCCAGCGAAAGGCCAGGTTGACAGACATGCGTTCCGCCTTTGCATCCGCAACGCACTCCTTGGAAGGCCAAAGCAGAGTATGTGAAGATATTTCGTGTGGGGCACAAACCTGATTTATTTTCATGCGCTGCAGAAGCATTCAGGAGCTCTGGCCAAACAGTTCCATTTGCTGCTCCATGCTGGCGGTCATAATATCCAGGAATTGAATGCTTCATGCAGTATTTACTGAATGTCAAAATGATTTCATGGTGGATCCTGCCCCATGAACCCGGCAGCTTTTCTATGAAGCGGACGAGCAAGTTGGTTCGTCTACGCACATAGCAGGAGTAAGCCCACAAGCCCAGCAACACAACGTGGCTAGTGTTGACTGCCGCACAATCGCAACGCAAAATCTGCAAGTTTCATACGTGGACGCAATCAAACAAGAACTGCAGACGACAAACTGCAGAAAATATTGTCAATCCTCAGAACCTTTGAACAAAATTAATCCTTCTCAGCAAGCACACTGCAAGTGCCATGGATAAAACTTGCGGGGACAGCCCGCACCAACATCTTGAAATGCTCGCAAAGCATCCGC